CCCCAAAACCCCAAAACCCCGTTGGCAAAAATAATTAGAAATTATGAGTATTTAAAAATCAACTTATTAGATATTATAGGTGAGTGTAATTAACTTGATAAATAAGCTTAAGTAGTAGGCAACTATTAAAATATCTTTAATGTTAGAAAAAAACTTTTCATTGAATGAAGCCCTGCTTGACAAAAACTCCAATAGCCTTTATTAAACAAAATAGCATAATGATATAATCTAAAACAGAAACAAAGTGCTATACCCTAATTATGAAAACCTAAATGATGTGTAGATAATAGAACTAGGAAACTATGATTCAGTTCATGATCAGTAATTATAATATTACGGGGGTTATCTTGTTCACAATCAAACACAAATCCTCTTAAATGGATCTACTAGAATGAATCGTAAAGAAGTTGGTTGGATTCAATTAATGGATGTTGCAACCCATCAAGAAATTAGCATGAAAATTCTTGATAGCATACATTTAGAATTGCAAGGATAAAATGCAAGGAAGAATCTTAATTTCATTAGTGTCTCATCCTGCGGAGAATATTTCCTCTATAGTCTCGATAAAGAATAAGGTGCTTAGCCCCAAACAGAGATTCACATTCATAAAATAGTTGATTTCTTCGCAGATAAAGCACCAGTCGTGAAAATCGTCCATGACTATGACAACTCAAAATTTAAGAATATTATCTTCGGTCCTGATAATTATATCTATTTCTCTTAATAGAGAGAGTCAACTAGAGACTAGTTAAATGACTGTAAAAGTTTAATGCGCTTCAGATGTGATTATAAAAGCTAAAAATCTGATGAACAGACTCAAGTTTTTGACCTAGAAGATTGGTATAAAGATGTGCCGAAAAGAGGTTATGAGTCTGAAAAACCATTGACCCACATATCCTCTGATCAAGTTTTTGCATGCATCGTAGGTTACTCTGATTTCGAACTGAGTCATTATTTCTACTGGGGTTTTGTAGTAGCAACATATGATAGAGGTAGGAAAACTATATTCTTTGAACAAGAAAAACTAAGAGTCAAATAAGATCTTTCTTTCCCAGTATTTTTCGATTCAGAAACTGAATACTTTGGCATGGATTCAGATTTTAATATCTATCAATCCATTAATCCAGAATTCTTTAAATTACTTAAAGTAGGGGAACTTAAACCTCCTGGCAATAGCTTTTTTGACAGTAAAAAACCAATTATAACTTAAAATACCATGATCATGAATGGGAAAGATTACGCATGCTCATCAGGATAAGTCTTTGTTTATGATAAGCTAAGATTCAATCTCATAAACTAAGTTACAATTAATAAACAAGCTTGGAGAGAGGATTATACTTTTATCTTCTACTATGAAGGCATTCTTAACTATATTAATCCTTCATCTAAACAATACATGCACGTTAAACTTTACAATTCAAAATTCTTTCATGATGATGAATTAGTGTTAGAGATAACTGAGCAGAATTAATTGATAGACTAATCAGCTATCTTACACAAGTGGAATAAATCTTACAGAATATTTGATATGGAGCAAAAAAGAACTGTTTGTACTTTGACTTCCCCACTTCTTTTAGACAAAATAAGCTTTTTCCTAAAGATAAGCACATTGTACTATCTTTTTGCAACAGAAAAGGAAACGGTATACCTAGTCTCATAAAAGGATTCATCAATTATTAAAGAAATTAGTATAAAAGGTTCAATGAGCTTTGAATTCAGTAATTTCTATGTGCTCTCAGCAACATCTTCTAAACTATCTTTTCTTAGATTGACTTAGGAGAAATTTCTATAGATTTATGATATAAATCCAAACGACTGTTCAGTCGAGATTGAGGATATACCATTTTTAGAGGGACTGAGCCGATACTGCATTAAAGTTGGCGATACCTTTTAAATGTTTAAAAACGAGTAGACCGGTTAGATATTGATTATCGTAGTTTACTAGAAATGCCTCTATGCTTACGACTTCCACTCTAGACAGTTGAGATAGTTCAAAGGAGAATAGTTCAGCTTTTCTTAAGTTTCAATCAGTTGGGATGATGATGCTCTATTTACATTAAAAGACAAAGTTGTTATTCAAGCCTACGATTTACAGACATTTGAACCTATTGCTAATCTATCATACAGAAGCAGTACTCCCATTACAAAAATCAAAGCTATTAAGAATCACCTGATTATTTGCTCCAACCCTGCTGAAGTTCTTGAAATAAATAACAGGTCATTCACCTCGAAAAAAATAAAGATTCCTATTGCACCTAAAGATTCATTAAAGCATGGATCACCGGATTTATTGAAAGATCGAGCCAATGGTGAAATAGTCTATTATAAATTAGATACAAAAGGTTAATGGAATTACTAGACTAACGCCTGGATTACTAAGTATGATCCTCTTAAATTAAGTTAAGAAAGTAAGAGTTTAAACATTGATTATCCTCTGATTCAAAGTTCTCATCTACCATGTGCAAAACATGTTGTTATAAACAAAGAACAAGGAATGTGCTTCTATCATGACGAGAGAGATAAGAGAGTGGGCTTTATCAGTCCTTATTTTACTACTGATGATATATTAAAGATCAGAGAGTCAAAGTCGAAAAATAACGATACGCTATTAACAGATTTAAATGACATTTCTCCTTATCTAAAATTCTATCCTGGAATTGGAAACATTCTTAACTTAATGGCTCTAAGACCTTAAATATTAGACTTTATTGCGAAGAAATTATCCATTATGGATAAAGCTGAAATACCAATAATATTAATGAGAAATGAGATTGGTGGTAAATCAGCAATAGACATTGCTTGTGAGAAGAATTAGCTTAAAAGTTTAATGATTCTATTAGAGCTATTGACTAAGTACTAGGATGATCATGGCTTTAATTATCTAATTGATAGTCAATTCATTTACTTCATTGATAAAGGTTTAGATCTAACAGAATACTTTGACAGCAATTTACCTAAACTTTAGATTATCCATGAAAACTATCCAAGTGAGCATTTTGACGAAAATGAATACATTTTAGGAGTTAATGACCTATAGAGACCTAGTGAAGTAGTACAGAAATATAGTGAAATCTTTGATTAAGTTCTTGATAATGGAAAATCAGAAGGATTTGCCTCTATTGAATACTACCTCATTAACTTGCCTGAAACACTAACCACTAATCCTAAGTAACTCATGAAAACTCTGAGTCAAAGTGATAATATCGAGTATTTTGAGAATCTAACAATCCAAACAATAATAAAGTTTAAATGGAATCAGTACACCAAGAACTTCTTTCAAAATCAATTTCTGATCTTCTTAATCTTTCTCGTCTCCTTTTTCTTTGAAATTTACTATTCAATCAGCCAAGGTAAAACTTAAGCAGACTTAAAGGTTGATGGTGAATCAATAGCTTAACCTGACACAAGAGAAATAGCAGTAATTGCCGTTACAAGCTGGGAGAACTTTCGTTAGATCTTGCTCTATTTCTTCTACTATGAGGTTAGATAAGCTAGCAAATAATAAGGGTATCTAAAAGAGCTTTGGAATCTTTTTGATTTCTCCTTGATTGCCTCATATCTAGCACTTAATATACTAGAATTTACCTCTGGAGATAAGAGTACACTGATTATTTTAGACATATTAGTTATCATACTTTCTTTCTTGAAAATAAACTTTTTCCTAAGAATATACGATGGCTTCAGCTTTTTAGTATCAATGATGAGCGGTGTGTTCAGAGATATCTACTACTTTATTCTGTTTTTCTTAATTTTCATATTCTAGTTTGGAATAATCTTTGTTATCCTGTTCAGTGCATAGGAAGTTGATGAATACAGTGGAATTGGAACTTTTGGTTATTTCCTTATGATTTTCAGAATTTCATCTGGAGACTTTGCAGTTGAAAACTATAAGGATCAACCTACTACAGTTTTAATTGCCTTATCATGGCTTATTTGGCTTGTTGCAGTATTAATACTCAACATTGTATTCATGAACTTCATTATTGCTGTGATCTCTGAATCTTACGAAAAGGTCATGTAGAAGTTGGTGGCTGAGTCCTTCAGAGTCAAAGCTAATATGATAGTAGAGAGAGAATTACTATTGACTCCAAAAGATGAAGCTGAGAAGAAGTTTTATTTCCCAGAATATATAATTCTCAGAAGAGCGGTAGAGACTTCAGAGGGAGATTAAGGTAATTATCTTTTTCTGTAATAACATAAATATAGGAGAGTGGTAAGGCTTTATTAAGGATCTGAAGTACACAATCAGAACATCAGCTTAGAAGTCAAAGGCAGAGGTAATCTAGAATGTTGCCCCTATCTAATGCAAGGTAGAGGCGTTGGCTCAAACTTAACAATTGTAACAAGAGATTATGGGCATATTCAAAACTGAACAAAGTAAATTGATAGAAGTTGTTCAGAACAGTATCTAAGAACAAAATGCTAAGATTCAAGCTGTTAGTACTGGGAGTTCCAATTCCTCTGGCTAGAATGATGATATTCGTCGTCTAAACAAAACTGTTGAAGAATTGAGATAGAAAATGAAAGGATGTGAGAAAGGAATTAATGAAATCAATGCTAATATCTAGAAACTTCTTGAGAAATGATTTTGCTATTGCTATTAGATTGATTCACATTGATTTTGATCCATAACATATAAAGATTATTTAAAATCGGTTATATCTTGATTATTTAATTGGATTTTTAAAATTTTATTTGAATTTTTATTATTTTTGTGAATGGGGTTTTGGGGTTTTGGGGAGATCGG